TTGCGCCGCCCTTGGGAGCAAAAAACGGTGAAAGCTAACATACGAAACCAGAGGGCAGCACAGGATGCGATCACACGATCCTGCCCGTGAGCAATCTCCCAACTCATCTCTGGTTGAGAGATTGCTCACAAGCAGGATCGCGCGATCGCCTTCTGTGCTGCCCTCGGTGAAGAATGCGGGCGGCTCACGCACTTGTTCCCAATAACGGCCAACTCAGAGGATGACGGAGAAAACGAATAGACCTGATAACCATGTAATCAAGGTTTAGGAACACACTCAAAATATCGAATTGTTTGACCGCGTGATAACGACGGGCATGCGCATCTGAAACTTCGATTAACTGAGGAGAGGGCGGACATTTACTAGATATTCTCAGATACTTTAGCGGATGTAGTGAATATTGGTGAGAAACTCACTCGCTCCAATTGACAGCTACTACGTTCGATAAATAATGGTAAATTGAAAATTACTAATTCAACACTAATTTAAATTTTAGACACTTTCAAAATGCGTTCTTAATTGGTTTTGAACGCCTGCTGTTTTGAGGAAAATTAATCTGTCATGTTCCAAGGATGTCAGTGCTTTTGACATTTGCATGATTTTTGTGGATTAATACAAAATATGTGAACTTTGGTGGGTATGTAATATACCTTATTTGTTAGTTTAATTTATTGTTGACAGATACGTTTTATCCTGATTCAAAACAGAGCAGGAAAGACGAGGTTGGCGAAGTGGTACATGAACTTTGACGATGACGAGAAACAGAAGTTAATTGAGGAGGTACATGCCGTGGTAACCGTTAGGGATGCTAAACACACGAATTTTGTTGAGGTTAGTTTGGAGGATACGAATAGTTTCTGTTTAATAACTAAAAATGCGAGATTTAAAGATATGCCCAAGAAAGTCACTTTTTTCATTGTGCTTAATTCATATTTATTTTACAGTTTCGAAACTTCAAGATCGTATATAGAAGATACGCCGGCTTGTATTTCTGCATTTGTGTCGATGTAAACGACAATAACCTCTGCTACCTAGAAGCGATTCACAATTTCGTGGAAGTCTTGAATGAATATTTCCACAATGTCTGTGAGCTGGATTTAGTATTCAACTTTTACAAGGTTGTATACATTTGAATTGACTATTAATAATAATATCCAAATAGAAGTCTCTAATTTCAGGTCTATACTTATTTCAGGTATATACTGTAGTCGACGAAATGTTTCTAGCAGGAGAAATTAGGGAAACGAGCCAAACCAAGGTACTCAAACAACTTTTAATGCTCAATTCTTTAGAGTAGCCTTGTTTAATAATGTTAATACAATTTAAACAATGCCCAGATATAAATATAATAATCTATATTCTCAAATCTGTATTACTAATATATTACACCTGATGTCACAAAACAGTATTTATAAATAGGATTAAATGAATGTTTAAGAAATTAAATAAATTCGCCGTTATTATAATGTAGTTGTATATACACAATTAAAACTACATTCTATTGATAATACAACAGGGTCCAATCGATATTAGATTCAAAACGTGCCAAGCTTTAGTCTCAAATACTGGACGGTGCTGCCATTTCAAACGTGCTACAATTTGTGACTAAAGATTTGCTTCATGTCAGTTCATTCGGCGCTTCAGAGATGGCACTGCGCTGCTATCTTATCACACGACGAGAACCACACAGTAGCTCCCAGAAAGCTACAATGAAAGAATTGCCGTATAAAATATTTTTTACCCCACACCAGCATATTAATACTTATCATTAACCAAAATTCACCCGAACCTTTTCATATTTTATATACCTAGAATTAACAACACTGATCCTCCTGTACTTGACCACAAATAACATGAACACCATCGTAGACTTGAAGCTCGCGACGTTCACATGCAACGTTCCATTAAAAGGAATAGGAAAAGGAAAGAAAAGAGATGACAAAAACAAAAATAGGTCTCCGTTTCCGGGCGATTATTACGCATGCGCGAGTCCATTCATCTTGACCGAGCATATAAAGACCTCGAGGTTGATACATTCATAACATCAAAAGATCCAACAATACCGTCGAGGAAACGCCGTAAATCAATGGCTTGATATCGCAGGTGCGTATCGCAGGAACAATCAAAGGAAGTTCTATTTTCATATATTACCCGAGAGCAAGATGTAGGAACAGAGTGTAAAAAGGATCGAATAATGCAGAACCGCTAACTTTGCTGCGTAACACATTGTTAGGGCTCGCGCGTACATATAAGGACGAATATATATATTCATATTTGTACACCCATGCGCACATGCATTCACGGGTGCGTGCACGTGTTAAACAACAGGGCTTAGAATCGAAGCGGTGGGGACGCCGTAGTGGCCGCAGTAATAAAACTACCACGCGTCCAATAACGTGGCGCCGTTCGACGAATCTTTAATTAAATCGGCCGACAGCTCGCGAACTAAATAAAACTTTATGTTTTCCCTTGCAAAACCGCAGCCGATCGCGGAGTCGATCGTAAAGCGAGAGACCTATATCCTAGACGGCGATTCGACACCCAGAACCACATTTATATATGAACAAGCAGATATAAATATTAATGACACGAGCGCGTAAGGATACCGTACAGACCGTAAAACGGCATCATTTTACCACGTCGAATTATAAAAAATTCGTTCGCCCAGGTTCACTCGAATATATATATATATATTTAGTTGATCCGAATACATTATTCTTGGTGAAAAAAGTAGAACGAGTCGAGTCATCTAATTGCGAGCTACTGGAAAAAAATCCAGTAGCAAAAAATTGCAGGGTGTCGAAGAAAAGGTACTCGCAGTAGCGGCACTTAAGAGAGCGAGGGCAGATTGAAATCAATTATTACTTTAAAGAACGTTTATCTTCCTTGCTAGCAAAGCTTCCTTTATGCGTTTTCTCGGAACGCCCGACATTGACTTTCCCCGATGCCGAGCTGCCTCCTGTAACACCCTGAGCCTAACACGTTCCTTCCACCGTTCGTAAATCGCTCTCTCATTGACTTCGATCTCGAAACGGGAGGGGGCGTTCCTTCGCGTATCGTCGAGTACCAAAACTATTCTAACGAGACATCTTTTCAACAATTTTCCTTAATTCCCTCTCCCGATCGAGGGATCAAGAAAATCGTCAAAGTCGTTCTCGCAACGCCCCAGTTATCGAGGGGACTTTATCGCCGGCGATAAAATCTCCCGACAATGGTCGCAGAAGAGATCAACACCCGTGGAATCGTGGAGGTTCGTCGACCGGGTCGCGCACCGAGGCGATGAAAACGCTTCGCGTTATATTTAAGCATGAAATTTCATGTAGATATATTGCCAGTGAACACAAGAGAGGCGCATCGAGGCGAAACGACGCGCGATATCAGTTGTAGGGGTCGCCGCCACTACAAGCTGCCTACTCTCTCGCGATAACCTCTCCGATAAACTTTCATCTTAAATGTTATACACATTACATTTTTAACTCGCAGCATTATCGCCGCTTGGGCTCTCTCTCTCTATCACTTTCTGTCTCTCTCTCTCTCCCTTTTCTCTGGCCCCACGGGTTCCACGCAACTCCCTGACTGCCGCATCTCGACGTCCCGTCCCAACGTTCCGAAAACCTGCGAGCGGTTCGCCGCCGTCGTCGAGTCCCAAAGCGAAGACCGTTAAAAATCAATTTCAAAACGAATAGAACGAAAGGATACTTAAAGTTTCGAGTACGGTTTCCTTACCAGTTCGGCGTTCAGATCGTCATGACCAGTCGTAAACTGCCGGACCAGGGACGCCGTCTCGCCAGAGGCCGCCATCTTGATTTCGGAAAATCGGCATCCAGGTGGTACCGTTGCCCGCTGGTGGCGCTGCAGTCGCTTGCGACAGGTCCAGGTCTTCGGAGAAAGGAATGCCAGGTATCTGCAGGGAGAAAGCTCAAAGCGTAAGGCGGAGTAGCGGGTGGTGACCGTCTTCCATTGCTGACGAGATCGCCTATTTTAAACGGATATTAAATCAGGGTGAAATACATCGCACCTTCACTAGAAAAACCAGTACCGGCAAATGATGTAAATAATAAAATTCAGATAAATAAGAATTATATCATTTTAGCATTAAAAACCGGCCGGTACGAGTACAAGTGGCCGATCGGCAATCGGCTGCGATTTTGGTGTCCTCGAGAACAATGTCCATCACAAATCAGGCGTTCCCGAATCGAGATTGCGTGGGTATCAACGTAAGATGACCGGTGTGGGATTCTCTCTTCGCGTCTCGAGCTTCGGTTCCCTCTTCTAAAATCCCACTTTATGCTCCGTTTCTTCATAGACAGGTCGCTTCCCGCTGGGCGGCGCGCGCCATTGGTGGCACGCGGCGGCGCGGTGCCGCCGTAGAAAGGAGTCTCCGGCGAAAGGAAGAGGAAGGAAGACAATAAGAAGAGGCGCTGCCGGGGCCGTGAGCCGAGGTGCCGCCGAGGGGCAGGGCGAGAGGGCAAAGGGAGGACGGAGGAAGAAGCGACGGCGCAGAGACACATTAGCTGTATTCCGAGTTTGCATGGCGGAACGCCCCTTTCCGTACTTACGCCCGGTGCCGCGCCCGGTGGAGCGGTGCATCCTCTTCTTTGCGCGCTCCCTCTTTCCCTCTCTCGCTTCGTCCCTCGGCTCTCGCCTTTGGGATATTACGGTGTATTCGAGAGAGCCAGCGGCCGGAGGGAGAGAAAAAGAGAGCGACTTGACAGACGATGCCGACGACGACGACGACGACGACGCCGCCGCCGCCACCGCCGCCGCCGCCGTGGCGGCGAGTGTGCCTCTGTAGGTGTAAATTATCCGCCGGTACCGATCCCCGGAATTAGTCGAGGGAATATGCCCGCGCCCACGACGACCCGAGAGGGGACCGTTTTGCTCCTCCTTTTATCGTCCCCTCGCTCTTATTTTCCCGGCCGAAAAGAGACGACCCCCGAGTCCTGGTGCCACCTATGCGACTCTTTATCTCTCCTTTCGGGATAACTCTTCCGAGGGCGACGCGAAGATTGGTCTGGATCTTGCCGGCAGATCGGAAGGAAGAGTATCTTTCCTTGCCGAAAGTTCTAAAAGTGTGGCGAGTCCCTTGAAGTCGCTAAAACCGAGACCCGGCCTCGAATTAGTAGCCGTCGGGCCCAGGATAAAGTTACCTACGCCATGAGGGTGCACTTACGTCCGGCGTTTCTCGCAAAAAAATGTCTGACTGACAGTGGGAACAAACGCGCGAGACAGCTGTCTTTCGGAGACGTACTCGCGACTAGTTGTCTCGGAGTGACGCGCGTGGTGTGCGACACTGAACTCGCGAGATGAACAACGGGTGTTTAAGTCAACCACTAAACTAACCGATCTATGATCCCCTTTGAGGTAGACGTTCCTTTGACTCGGTCTCGTTTCTCGAGGCGAGCCCCGTTAACCCTTTAGCAACGAAGCGCCACTATAATGGCTCCTTTCTTTATCGCAATAAATCATGCGCTGGGCAATTATCAAGTGCATATGTATACATTCACTCCGAGAAAAAAATGTCATTGAACCAAAGAAATATTTCGTTAATTCAAAGAATAATTATTTAATTTCAATATATTAGATGCAAGATTTCTTTGGTTCAATTAATTTTCTTGTCTCAGTGTATGTATATAATGTCATCAATCCACGACCGAGCTACAGGTATCGCACGGTCGATTCCGGTGTGAGTAACGAATTAAGCTCACCTGTTAGAGGGAGTCGCATTAAATGCCCCCCAAGACGACCGCGACGCGTCCGGGGTCCGCGTTCGCGGAAAAGGACCTCGACGTCTCGTCGGTGAAAAACCGGGCGCTCAGAAATGGAGAAAATAAGGAGTAGTCGTAAACGGGCAAGGTTCAAAGGAATCATTCAGCGTGCGCGACATCGCCGGAATCGGCGGCGCTTCTCGGTAGCCGCTGGCTCCTCTCTCTACGAGGCTCGCCCCGATGGTAAACGGGGCCCGCCATTTTCTTCTCTATTTTAATAAGGGAACGGGGTGTCGCGGGGGGAAAGGCCAGCCGCAATTCTCGAGAACCCCGAAGAAACGAGTCCCGGGTCTATTAGGTTCGCGCCCTTCCTTTGAGCGAGCTGAGTGTAATAGAGTATCTTAGGGCGGAGTAGGAGGGTGTAGTCGAATTTCAAAGGGACTGCTCGAGTAGCCGCCAGTCCTCGTTAGGTTGTCCTCGCACGTTCCCCCCGCGGCACACATGCTCGTCGGAATGACTCTTGTTGGCTCGTCGCGTCGATATGCCTAATGCTTGCCAGTTATGCGCCTCGCTTCCCCTCTGACGGACCGATACCTGTCTAGGAATTCATATTTCAAACGCGATCCACGCCGAGTTCTCCGCTCGTCTCGATTTCCTATTCCTTTACCCACCGAAAGACACCGCGCGGCCCAACAATATGGTACCTATACATGGTATAATAGGAGTTACAAAACGAGTGTCACAGTCACCCGTCACTATTCTCGTCGAAAATGGAGTCTAAAAGTCGGACAAAATTTCTTATCCAAACTGCCCAATTCGCCTGTATTTTGGTCATGCTGTGTATGTTAAGTGTCAAAATGTTTATAAAACTGTCTCCAAACTGGGTGCACCGAATCATTCACGAAACTTCAGCACGTGATTATGAAAGTCGTAAGGAAGAGCGCGATGCTCGTGAAATTTCATTTTTCAAACATTTTAATTTTTTATTTACCCTAGACGACGGCTCGACGACTCCCCTGCGATGTGTCATCCGATTCGCGGTCCGCTAATCCGGTTGACTATTTTTTAATTAATCATTACGGACAAACTATGCATCGTGGATCAAAATTGTATAAGACTTCTCGAGAAGAATTTCGACGCGTGTACCGTGGCTAGGAATTTTGGTACACCCTGTATTTATCGAAACGAGCTCGATTCGTCCGTCCGCGTCCTTACCGAGGATACGATCGCCCGACCCGGACGTCTTCGACGGATTTAGACGAACTCCGTGCTAGTGAGAATTCTCGGGACGGTCAATTTGACGGACAGGTCGGAGGCCGTCGAGAGGGCCGGTCGACGCGGGCCGAGAGGCGGCGAGGAGCGAGAGAAAGGGAAACCGAAGAAAGGAGCCAGAGGAGCCCGCGCGGAATGGGTGTCTAATTTCGAGGAGGAGGGCTCTCCACGCTCGACCGACGCCGATTGGACGGCGTCGCGACGTCTGCCTTAAATGCCGTTCCGCATAGCGGAACAGAATTTCGGAATTTCGCGACTCGCTCGAATTACCGTCAGACGCGGCGAGAAGGATGGGCCGACAGAGAAAGAAGGAGAGAGACGCGCGACGGTAAATTTGACGTGGCTTTTTCCTTTTTCTACCCGATAGGAGATTCGATAGAGAACAAAGAGTGGTACGTACGCGACGCACGAGTACGCGCAATGCTCGCTCCGCACACGAGAATACCAGACGGAGCGAATTGCGATTCCGCACCTTGTCCCTCGTTTCCGGCTTCTCTTCCGTTTCCCCTGATCTTCAGGACCGCGAAAGCCGCCCCAACGAGACGCGGGACAAGGATAGGACGGGCGGAAAAAGTCGCAAATCAAGAACTGAATCTTTTCCAAGATCGTGTATTTAACGGCGCCACTCTCGTTACGCGTACATCGGGCCATACGTAGAGACGTTCTCGAACTCGCGTCGAGTTCGCTCGTCGGTCCTTTTTCATATTTTTTTTTCGTTTTCTCCCTCTCGTGTGAAATATCGTTTTCCTATTATTTTCGCTCTCTCGAGATTAACTCGTGACAATGCATCAGTGACAATGGGCGCGCTTTGGCCGAGGCTTTTCTCTGATGCTCGGAATAGGCTAGCGCGCTTTTCTAGGTAACTCGATCATCGTTCAGACGGACGGATATAATTGTAAAATATGTAAAAGTTAGGCATCGAGATGGAAACGCGATATGTGATCGTCGATTGTGTATGATGATTTGTCGGAACAAGACGCAGGCGGTATACGGACGCGTACGCGGTATATGAAGAGCGTTCGGCATTATCAACGCGCGAGGCATTATCTGACGCACTTAAACGGAATTAATTCGCGCTTAAGCGATCCATTGCCCTCGGGATCTCCGAAAGCAATGCCACCCTCCGACGTGTGCACATGATCCACCGAATACGCCGTTGAAAATAATATGCCGCGCGATTTCGCCGAAAAAAAAGGAAGATAGGTGGACCCGATGCCGTTTTACGGTGTCCACGTTCCTTTATGGTAGAATCCAGGCTGGGTCAACGATCCCCGGCACAATGAGGTTATTTTTAACGGCGTTCCCTATTTTTTTTCCCCTCTTCCTCGCGGAAGGAAGCACATATAATACATGGTTCTCTAGCAAGAGCGAGGACCGCGAACACGAGAAAAGAGGGCAGGTCAGCTTTGGTCGATCATAAGGAGAACTATCGTACATAAACTCTATCGTTACATCGTAAAATATTTTGACTGGTCCAGCCGATGATTAATTGCACTTTTACCGAGGATCTTTAAACGAGTCTCCTAAATCGTCGTCCCGGGAGCGAGCTGCTGCAGTGGGCATCATTTCGTTTTTTATTTGTTATTACTTATCAACCGCGAGACGGATCAGCTGATGGGATGGAAGCATTCGAAAGCGCGTATGGAATTCGGACGGCGCATCCGAGGGGGCTCGGATGCGTTCCATGGAAATTGGAGGGAATAACATTCCCGTGGAATTTCTTTTTTCTTCCCATGCCCTGGCGAAGAGGTCTAGGATTCTAAAAAACGTGCCCTCGGCTCGTGCCCGGATGTACTCGACCCATAAAGACGGGCTCGAAGCTTTCACTGGTCTGACAAATTGGCCTTTTTGCCAGTGCGGTTCCTTCCGAGGGAGTTTCACAGTAGCCAGCGACACTCGAACTCGTTAGTCCGTTCTAACAGGGACTAAAAGACATCGGGCGCGTTTCTTAAAATCCGAAAAGTCGAATCTACCGAGACCGTTGCAGCAACTTCGCCTCGGCACGTAGATTGATCGCGGCATTAGAGTAAAATACCCCAGTCGTTTTCCTCTCGTTTTCTTTGCACGGCGTGAAACAACTTTAGCAGTCCACTGCCTCCACCCCGTGCTTCCGGTCCCGGAGCTGGAAGCACGGTTCTATAGGTGGTGGAAAGGAAAAAGAGAAAAAAAAGAAAAGAGAGAAAAGAAGATTAAAACCGAATAAATTAACGCCGAGCCGTACGAGGCGCGGAGCTCTCAATCCGAGCGCGATGTCGCGACCACTTCGCGGACTCAATAAATAATATTAATCATAACGTCGCCATAACTTACGCTCACAATAATCTACGTACTGTACACATAGTATACGCACACCCACCGGGCCGATCGTTCCTCTTACAAGTAATTATTCTCGTCTGTACTATATATGTACCTGCCTCGGTCGAGAGTACCTATTGCGTCGAGACGGCACTAGCGACTGTTATAACAGGAGCTGCTGTAACGACCTGTATATCGTGGCGCATTAATTAGGGCGCCCTGTAAGCACCGAGCAAATTGAATACCTACTTTGTGCCTTCGTCGATTAGGAATCTGATTTATCGCGCGCGTGGACAACTAAATCCGCGAGCCCCCTCGAATCGCGACTACACGCGCGCATTGTTATAACTGCACCTCTATGCTGGAAACAGAGAGACCGAGGAAATCGAATTCAAAACCGATCGACTATCAAATCCGTTACCACCGCGACAAGACAATTACCCAATGATTGCTAGGGCTGTCTCGCATCTCGGATCGAGGTCAAGAGGCTTGAAATGATTATAGCAAAGGCAGCTGCCAATTTACCGGAGCAACCCTCATAAGATTTCGCGATCCTCGTGCTCGTACCAAGCTGAACGTGCGAGACGGGTCTGCAGGTGATCTGCCAATTACACGCGAGATATGACCCTTCTGTTAAATTCATTGGCAATTCGCGGATAAGTGCCGTCGAGTAAAATTTCAATTTTCGAGCACGACTTCCCGGGTGCCACGACATACAGATTTCCCCAGGATTCCGTTATCAGTCATCGCAGTCCGAAGCCTCGACCGACGACCTCGTGGTGCCAACCCAGTATTATAAGAATATTCAATGTCTACCTTTCACGCTGAAGAGTCCAGCGACGATCTCGTCTTTGGGGGGAAAGAGTCGCAGAGTCAGTCTATACAAATCACTGGGCGTATAGGTCAACCGACCCCGTCTGGGTGTCCAAGAAGGGTCTTAGGAGGTCCTGGAAGATCTCGGATGATCTCAGATAAGTCCTGGTCCTCGTCGCTCTCCAAGACCACCTCGGACGTTCTTCGCTCCACCTTTCTCAATTACAAGGACTAGCTGGCTGGCTAGTACTGGAAGCCTGCATCATGCCCGGTTGTCCAGGATGTGGGGTGGCTGCCGTGGCCGTGACTGCACTGGTCGCGGCACTCGGATGATGATGATGGTGATGGTAAAGCGTCGATGCGTAATACTGTTGATGATGATGGTGGGGGTGCGGATGGTAGTTACCAGGCGGCGACTCGTTTTCGTTATTGTTGTGGTGGTGATGGTTGTTAACGACGGGGCAAAGGGAAGAGGTCGACGAGGAGGAGGAACTCGTGGAGGAGTTCGGCAGGGCCGTGACGCTGTTGGCCAGGATGTCGTGCACCGTGTGCGGACTGGGCCATTGCAGGGAGTTGACGTTGTTAGGCTGGTGGCTCGCGGTCGTCGGCGTCGGAGGTGACGGGGACAGCTTCGTCGCCGACGGCGAAGTCAGTCCCACTGGAAACACAACGGAACTGAACAATCGTTTAGTAGATAACTCCCGGCGACCAGGCCGCCGTGTTAACATGGGAATCCTAATCCGATGCCAATGCGACATCAAATTGCCAACTACTTTATCCGCTACCATATCCGTACGAGAATTCCGGGAATCCAAGACTCGAGGGAAATCGTAAGGAGTACCACGAAAATCGTTATATCTCACCTTGATGGTGGTGATGGTGATGGGCGACGGCCGACGGTGGCGCCGCGTGGTAGGGCGTGGGCGGATACGGAACCGGGCAGAGGGCGGCTCCGGCGGCGGCGGCGGCCGCCGCGGCGTACAGGTGGTGATGGTGATGATGGTGGTGATGGGCAGGATGGTGTGGATGATGATGGTGGATGGCGGCGGCCGCGGCCGCGGCGGTGGCGCCCACCTTGTTCCGCAGGATCCTGGAGATGCTGGAGACCGAGGGCACGTTGTACTTGTCGCAGACTCCGTCCGAGAGAAGTCGGTCGCGGATCTCCCAGGCGAAGATGCCGGGGTCCTTTAGTTTGAGCTGCTTGATGTATTGCACGACTTTAGGCGTGGTGACTCGCGGCTTGCTCCCGCCTATCGCTCCTGGAAGGATGCTCCCTGTCTCGTGATATCGCGCCAGGATCTTGCTGACGCAGCCGTGGCTCACACGGAGCTGCCTGGAGATGTCGCAAGGTCTGATGCCCAGCTGGGCCAGCTCGACGATGCGCAGACGAACCGCGTTGGGAAGCGGCCTGCCATTGACGAATACACCTCCTAGCTGGTTCACCTCGCCATACTGCTGTTGTTGCTGCTGTTGCTGATGCTGGTGCTGCTGCTGTTGGTGATGGTGCTGCTGTTGCTGCGCGGCCGGCACTCCACCGCCGATTCTGCCACCGTTGTTCTCTGCAAAACATGGATTCGTTAGTGGGCATGGTAACGTATCGATGACGAGAGACCGTATGCATTTTTTTTAAGGAATCAGGGTATAGGGAATCCCAGTTCTTCGGGACGAACGAGCTCGTTCCACGTTACGCGAGGAGCTCAACGGCACGCCATACTCGTGCGAAAGGAAGATTGTACGTTTTAGTGCTGCATTGTTAGTAACGGCCGTTATTGCCTTCACAGCTCACTAAGTCGTTGATTGCACGTAGGAAATTATGGCCGATTAACCTTCCGATAACTCTTTCCTTAATTTGTTCGTTTTACTCCGAGGGAACGGCACCTCCCTCCGATACAACCGATTACCCCCGATAGAAGTCGGAGGTCTTTCCCAGGAGAAACTCGGCACCGAGAGCGAGACCCCGCGTTTCTTTTTCTTCAAAGTGTTAAGAAGATGGTTTTGGGTTTGGCCTCGATCACTCGAAAAGCAATAAAGCGAATGCCCAGTCGTTACAGTCTTGAATGGCGGCTTACAGGGCTCGTAACCATACCATGTAACGTAAAACTACGTCCCGGGATGAAAGAGGCTCTTCAGTCGAGTAGGTAAGTGTCGTACCGGTTAACTCGAACAGTGCGGCACAGTTGATGTAACCGGTGCCGGTCGCGATCTTTATATGGGGATAATATAAATTTTTTCACCACCCAAGGTTCCCATCCAGCGACGTCGCGTCGATGCATTTTGCGAGGTCGAGTCCCTGGATCGATTTGCGAGGTATCCTAATTTCTTGCACTTGTTTATCTATTTTTTTTTAGGAAACTAACGAAGAAATCGCACGACTTACAAGTCAGATATACCTCGACCCAATGTTATTCTAGGTACATATATCACATTTAATGATCATCTCGAGAAATGTATGGCACTCATGGCACCCGATCGCGATAATCCGCATATATATCCGTGCAATAACCCCGACACCATAGGGGGTTTCTCCGAAGGGACATTAGGGGGTCGAAATCGCCCCACGCTCGTCAATTAATTCCCGGAACCGAATAGGTAGTAAACGCACTATCTTAAGAGGCGTCTAAAACACTTAATGCTCGGCTCTTCCTGCACCTACATCTCGTACGTCTCGTACGTCTTTTCGATCCCATACATTCGAGGACTCGTACTTATGGGGGGCACGCACGAGAGGTTTATGCGTTCCGCCGCGGATCGTAGGTAAACCCTTCGAGATGGTGTACGTGCGTTAAGTAAGTAGGTACGAAACTCCCACTCCGATACGGCAAACCGAAGGAGACGAGATCGCGTCGTTAACCGCTCGCGAGAAAAAGGAGTCGTAAGGAGGAAAAAGGAAGGGGGGAAAAAAGGAGCGAGTCCCAACTGTACGAGGGACCGATGCATTTCGGCGGAGCCAGTTGACGGCTTCGCAAAAACTCGTCTCCGCCGTCGAAACTCTTCCGAGAATCTCAGACTGCGTGGTTCTGCCCGCCGCCATCTTGCCCCTGTGCCGCTCCCTCTCCTTATTTATCGCATCCCTTAACGCAAATCGCGATCGTTCCTCCCCGTCGAGCTCGGTTACTCTTCCCCCAGGGTGTGATAAAATAAACTCGATGGCCACAGTCTACAAAGCCTCATCCTTTCTAAAAATTAAGTGAAAAAAGCCCTTAAAGATGGTTTCCAATAATTAACTAAAAAAAATACCCAGCCAGACGCGTCGGGTGTCGCATAGCGCACGACGCACGGCCGCGAATTCTGTTACACGCTGCAAATTAATGATTAAACCATGCGATTCGTCTTATCAAAGGACCGTTCTTTTCAGGACGAAAAAGGAGCAGAAAGGGCTGAAACGGCTTCAGGGCAACGATACACGCGGCCATCTTTTCTCGCTCGATTAAGGGTGAAAAAAAGATCCAGGTGTATCATCATGGCATCTCCGTCGGACTCGTCTCCGATTGGTTGGCGTCGCCTTTCCTCTGGACCCGACCTGCCCAATCGAGCAGCCGTCACGGGGCCGGGGCACCGGCGACGTGGTGAAAGACGCGGACGGGAGAGGAGATTGATAATTAGTAGGTTAGATGGTAGACAAACACCGACGCGACGTGTACCGGGAGCCAAATAAAGCACATGTGGAGAGCGGGTGACAGTAACATCCATCACTCGTCGAACACGCCCTCTCTCGGACCACTGCCCAGGCTTTCCTGGCTCGGCGCGTCTTCTGGGATGTCCCCTGGTTTCCCCCGTTCTCCGTCCTCCTCCATCCGCCGCGTCTCCCCGGGAGCGAAGGAGACCGCGCGAGAGGGACGGCGCATGGGAAAGTGTGTGGGAGCGAGCGAGAGGGAGACAGGGAACGCGAGGGGGCCCTCTGTCGGTACCGAGGCGCTCTGCTCTGCGGATGTGGTTGCCTTCGCGGCTAAACACATGTATTACACGCGTGTAAACCGACTACTCGGGTCGGCCCTTTTGATCTGGCCCATTCATCACCCCTTGCGAGAAAAACTCTAATAATATTACACGTCCGTGTTCCTCCGTGTATGTGCCTGCCGATGGGGCGAAGTCGCGACTCCTCGGCAAACGTTACTCCGTCCTCCTTGTCGTTTCGCGACTTTACCGCGATTTACGGACTCTGTCGATAAAAACCACCCCTAGTAATTATTGCCGTTAATAGAGGCTTCTTATAGGACGGAATTACGCGGAATGAGAGGAATCTTCCTTGAATCGAGGTACCCGAGCGATGTTGAATTTCGCCCCGAGACGTAGGGTCCACCTTGCGAGCACTTTATGTCCACATAATGTGAACCTCGCGTGCACCTTATGTACGCTTTATGTGCGCCTTACGGACACGGGCCCGAGGTGAGGAGTTAATCAAGCGGTCAGGTGAATCAAACGCGCCCGATCGTGCCCGTGATAAATCCGGACCTCGGGGGTAATCGCGATATGTAATAATAATAACAATAATACCAACACTCGTCATTCAATACCCGTAAAGAGAATTGGCTGGTGATTTTATTAGCGCTACACGGACCCCTTCGAGGACCTATCCCATGAATCCCTCGTTCCCTTCCATTTTTTCTTTCTTTCCCTTTTGATTTCCTGCCATCGAGAAGTTCGTGCATAAATGCATTTGGCTCTCCCCACGTATGCACCACCGGAATCAGCCTGAATAAACGCACCTGCGAACGTTTACTCGGCAATTTGCAGTGAAGCCAGATTTCCCTCTTCTTGAATCATCCCGCAGATTCCTCGGTCACTTTTTTACTCGTTTTTCCGAACCGTCGCATCTAGGCTCTACAGAGCTTTGAGGAAAAATTCAAAATGGCTCATTCTACTTCTTATAAGCCGGCGCCGGCGCCAGGAACGGGCGAGGTAAGTAGCCGAATGGGAAAGCAAACAACTTGAGGGTGGTTCTCTTGTTCCCTTCCTTTCTCCCCTCCGAAATAGGTCTCTATCCTTCACCGACCACGAGGTGGATAGGTCGAACCATTTCTCGATCTGTACCCCAACGAACAGGTCGGTGGTACAAAAAGAGGCGCTCAAAAGGCACGGAAGCGGCTCCCGAGATTTCGGGAGCTAATTCCAAAGTGTTTGAGCAGTCCTTTGTCAACCTGGTCGAGGGACAACCTCGGCCCACCCGAAAGCTGTGTTTGTTGTTTGGACCGAGCAAACCGTACTAATTGAAAGCTAATGAATAATCCAGGACCGCTTAGGGACTTCACCGTTGTCGTTTGCTGTCGGTCGACATCTGCTTTGTTGTCGTTTTTTCAAGGTCAATCAGATCCTTTCCTCCTCGTCTTGCATCGGTTGCAGAAGGCGAAGTACGGTCTTACTTATTACGTATTTTGTAACTTTCGGAGTGGACCCGCGCGAGATTGGTTAACTGCCGACTTTTCGCAAATATTTCAGTTCAAATCCTCAGGGCCTTGTAGAGGATTATTTAGCAAGCTTACTCCTTTACATCTTTGGAATGTTACTCTTGGCCGCGAAAATAATTCCTATCTTATAAAAGAAATTCATACCCGGCTCGTGATCACGTAGCGGTGAGCGACGGACGCAGGTGAGTCGCGCGCAGCGCGCACCGCGCATCGCGGGCCTCGCCGCGATCCGTCGCGCGGGACTCGCGAGCCGGCGGCCACGCGACGCGGTGCCGCCGCGTAATCCCGATGGCGCTCCTTACCTAGTACGATCGAATCCATCGGCGAGCCAGTTGTTACGACGCCGTCTCGTCTGAAGTATCTTGCGTTTCCCGAGAAAAAGGCCGGCCGAGTCACAGAAGGCCCGCGGATCGCGGGTCACGTCGGTGACATCGCGGATGCGGAGGTGACGGTTCCGCTTATCGCGAGCGCGCGGGGGTGGCGCAGGTTTTGCAGGTTAGGTGCACCCGCGAGGTGTCCGCGCCTTGGCGAGGATGTTCCGGCGCGGCGGCAAAAAGAGGAGGCGCGAACGCGGTCACTGGTGCACGGCTCGCCCTTCGCTGGCTCACTGACTGAGACGACAGATTTACCAGAGCAGAAATAAGAAATCTCGAGCGACGGGCCTCGGCCGCGCGGCCGCGCCGGGCCCGCTGCCGCGCGCGACCGACCTAGTCACGCCCGCGCACGCACACAGGCGAGCGCGCGGTCCGCTCGTTCTGTCTCCGTCCGTACCTCGCGGCTCCGGTTCTCGCTCTCTCATTCGGTGCGCTCCTCCTAGCGCGCCTCTCCCATTGGCTCCCGGCGGGGTCTCTCTCCCTCTCGCGGCGAGGCCCCGCGCGCTCTCTCTCTCTTCCCTCGCGCCAGTGGCGGACGAGGCACCGCATCTCCCCGCGCGCGTATTTAAATTCCCCGCTCCTCCCAACCCGAAGACGATACGCGAGTCAAGAGGCGCGACGATCGATCTCGAATTCGCGAATTGGCTTCTTCATACCTGAAATTTGGATCGAACTAATTAGGGCATCCTAAAAGATTTGTCAAAAAATATTATGGTAGGAGGTTATGGTTTCATGTGAGGGGTGATATGTGCAAGAGAGGAAGCCGATTCGCCGAAGATCGGGTGATGTTCGACTGGATGCGCGGTGATCCGAAACCCATCGCTCTTCGTCTCCACCTCTCGCTCGGCTCCACTTGCGGACGCGTGTGGGTGGCGCACCGACGCCAGCGCCGCCGATGGAGGGGGAGCGGCGTGGCCTCGCACTACGGGGCGGATCCGCGCCGGTACGGACCATTGGCGAGCGCAAGCACCGTACACTCCGCGGTCCACGCCCCTCCATTGTACACCTACCGTCACGGAATAAAGCGGCTGCGACGCGCGACGTGTCTAAGGCCGCCAGGCGTCCTCCTCGCTCCCCTCGGAATCCCGATCCTCCTTTTCTCTCTAGCGACCCGGAGGACGCTTTCGACCAGCCGGGTCGCCCAAGGTGGTCGCGGCCACGCCTCGTCGCTTCCCGTCGAGCGCTCGTTGGAGATTCTTCGGGACGATCGCGCCCCGGGAAACTCCTGACCTTTTCTCGATCCCTCCTCGGAATGGCGAATTCCGGCCGAACCCCCAGCTCACCGCAAACACTCGCCGCAACGACCTTTGGCTAGGAAGCGGAACGAGGGAGGCGACCCGAGGCCGCCATTTTGTATCGCTTTACGTGCTTCTAGCGTCGCGCGTGCCCTGAGGATCCGACACTAAGATGGACTTTGAGTAAAATGGACAATCTCATGAACGATCTCTAGAAATTCTAGCAAGGACTGCAACAACACTTCTAAGGTGATAATAACTATGTTTTGCAGTGATTTGGGGCTCGAGAAAGAACGACTCATCGGCGCCATCTTGCGAACGACGAACCCAGACTCGGGGAAGATTCTTTTGCACGCGTTTCCACGCAATTCCGAGAAAACGCCTATAACGAAGACGGACGTAAGCATCGTGATGTTTAGACGTACGATATGTCGTTCTTAAATAACAGAATCTCGACTGATTATCAATTTCTTTTAGAAGATACTCCGTGAGATAAATCACTGATTATTTCAACTGGGATTTACCGAAAATCCTCCGCTCCGAAACTCATCCGGCAAAGTGGTCTTGCCGGTTCGTCGGCTCTACATTCAGGGGGCAATTGAATGGCTATCGTGTGAGAAGCGGTTTATGGGATATTGGGTATGAAACGAGCAAAGGCCGTTTCACCCCGCGGAGCAGAGAATTATCTGGCCGCAAGCCCAGATTCTAAATTTACGCGGGTTTTCATCCGCCCAGTAACCATGCGTGATGGCTCCGAGGAAACGTAGCCGTCGCTTAAGGGGTGTCCCAATCGTGGCCGTGTAACCACACGCGTGCCAGTAATTATTAAAGTGGTGGGAGTAATTGCGAAGAATCTAGAGAAATTTAATTTATCACTGAGTTCGTCCTATGTCCCCTTTTTGAGAGTAATACCGAGGAATCGCAACGACGGCGGTTTTGACCCGTAAAATGGAGTCCATCTTGAGCTGCCTTGGAGTCTTGGTATTTAAACAGGTCTTATATTAGTTGCGACGTGGCCAAAACGTGCGAATCGCGCAGAAAACTGGCAATAGACGCCAGACAAATCGCTGTCGGACAGGTGGCGACGTTTAACGACGTCAGGTAATCCGTGACGTTAAAAGGAGCAGGTAAATGCGGTAGGTGGTTACGACGCTTAGTTCTGGCTTGCTGGCCGTAATGTGGTCGTAGTGCGTCGTGCAAGATCGCTCCGGCACGTTTTGCGGATTGTTGCGTAGGGCGAGGCTTCGTTTAGCACGTAATATAACGCTGCCAGATAGCTATTTATACGGCTACCTATACCCGCTCGGGTATGGGCGCACCTACACCGAATGGACGTGCGCGCGCCCAAGCGCACTCGGCTTTGGGCTCGACGCACGTGTGAGTAAATGTACAGGAGAGGGGTACTCTCTTATGGCTGGCATGGCGTAGCGGCTTAATGGCTCGCGACTAACGTACAGGGTCGAACACTGGGGACTCAATGCCCCGGGTATTTAAGACCGCAGGGACCAGTTTAGAGACTGGGACCTGGGAGCTTGCACCCTGAAGAATGCCGCGAACTCTTTCTACATCCACTCTGGAGCTTAAAATTTTGCCGATTGTAAAATCACTCTCATCTCCGATATGGAACTCTCGCGCTTAATGGAGGTGCATTCATTTCTGTAATTCTACGTAGAATAACAGCACATTTAATTTAATATTCGTACTTCCTGTATACAGGAATATTCTAGGATCTAACGTTATGCTGGATGAGACGGTCGAGACAGTTACAGGGAGAATTTCAAACAGGGGTTCTTGTTTTAAATTTAATCATGTGTTAAGGAATAGGGGCTAGAAGATAGGCACTGAAATTCTATCATAGTTCTTTGTAGTTGGAGATGTTAAGATTTAGGTCGCTCAAGGTATCTGTGCAGAAGATTTATGCCACAGTAGCTACTGTAATTTGCATTCAGCGTGTGGGCGGTTTCGCGGTAGCACTACATCGTCAATCTTAATTTACATGTAGCGCATCGACATAGATAGATACTGGAGGATCCTAATACAACGAAGCTAGCTTTGCCTCTGCAATTGCTTCGTTAATGGAACTTCGGTAAACGTGGTCAAGAAATTATTACGTTTGAGCGTGGCACAAATGTTTAGGAAGATGCTGCCCTTGGTATTATCTTGAAACTTGGAACTCACGTCCTTAAAGTTTATAAATAAATGGAAAAACAAGGGGAAATGTATATGCTCTGATTGTCTTTATTTTGAATCGTGCTTTCTAGAGTATCAAGGTTTTCGCTTTGCATTTAAAAAAGAAAAATATGTATAACATTAAATTAACATTGATCCGTAAGGAAGAATGAGACGACATTAAGGAAAGTGGGACACGTACAAGGTAAATTTGTAATTTATTTTATAATAAACATTTCTATGACGTGTAATAAAAGTACTGGTAGACGTTATCGTAGTATCCTATTTTCTGGTGTATGATTAGAACTAAAATGAGAATTCTTGCAGTGGATTCTTAACGTAAATGGAATCGAATGTTTCAATGAACGTAAAGCTAAATTCTCATCAACATTTTTGTGTAAATATTCCAAAGATGACTGTATCGAGTTAAATGTGTTGTTAAATTTTGGAAGTGATACAATTAAATAGTCTCTAGAAAATCGGAAGTACTCTACAAAATAATATAACACTTTAAAATATATCAATGTGATTTATGCATCTGATTCTCTGTTGCAACATATTTGCCGGTTTCCATACACACAATATCTATATGTACAAAATCCGATAGAAAGCTCAATGTTAGCCATTGTTCTCTTCTTCTCGAATTTGCTCTTCCGAAAACTCGACATCGTTTACTTCATCAGCTTTTACTGCAGCAGTCTGTTCTGGTTCTACCTTGACAATTTGAGAATTGGCCACGTTTGCTTCATTTGTTGTAACTTCTCCATTTTTTTCGGGATTTGGATCACGATTTTCTTCACCTTCGGCCGCAGATTCTGTAGTTTCTGCGATAGTGTCAACTGTACTTGTAACATCATTATTTTGTTGATGTCGAACATAACCCATTTGTATTTCGATCATTTCCAACTCTTCCATAAGAGCTTTCTCCTTCTTTTCTATGTCATCTGAAAATAAGAATAAATGTTAATTAAGTATTTCTATCCTTCAAAAGTGCAAATTTTAATTTTTGCTTACCATGAAGTTCCTTAGCAGACTCTGCAAGTAATGTGTCAGTGCGAGGATTCTTTCTCTTTGGTAGATAGTATATAGAAGGTTGCGTACGAGTGCGAATGAAACAAGCAAGTGGTAGCTGTGCAGCTCGCCAGTCTTGAAATTGCTTGCTGCGAGTTAATTTTGCCTCCAAAGCCCTTACTTCAGCTAGTTGACGTCTCCGAGACAAAAATAATTGTTGTCGTTCTCGCCGCAACTCCTCTTTCTCCCTTCTTTTAGCTTCTTCCACTCTTGCCTCGACCTCTGCTTTCTTATCTTCCTAACAGACGAATACAAGGAATATGAGATGTAAAATATCTTTTGATAGTCTTTTAACACCTTGACATACAACCTGGAAGAACAAAGTTCTTGTTGCTTTGTGTTATAAACATATGCTTGTATGTACAATATCATCATATAATCTCTAAATTTACAGTGCAAATGAAATCAAAGTTACATAATTTTTCACCGGAATGCACAACAGTAAATAATCGAGATTTAATCAAAAGTACAACCATACAAATTTAAAGATTATTAAACATTTACCTTTGCCTTAAGTTTTGTTTCTTCTTGACGAAATTTTTGCAGTGTTCCAAGAAGAGCACCAAACATACGCTTATTCCTCTGACGACTACGTTCGTCTACCCTTTCTCGTCTGATTACTTCTTGCCTAGATGGTATTTCTCTGGGTGTAGCAATGACTCTTGAGGATACAGCAGGCTGTCACAAAAAAAATTGGAGTTAAACGACCTATACAATCCAAATTTTTGTATAAGGTAATTAAAAAATATATATCATAAAAATTGTAAGAAAAAAATACCTTGACAACAGTGTCATCTTCATCAGCACTATCGTCAGCGTTACTAGGCACTCGTGCACTTAACCTGCTAAACACAGTCTTGGGTTCTCCGATTCCACTTTGCCAGCGTCTCTTGTTGCCAGGTCCTTCATTATTTGTGAAATCGACAACAGTTCGCCTCCGATCTTCTTGAAGTGGTCGCTTTTGAGAGATCCTATCGCGTCAAGTAAGTACATTAAACACAAGCTACACAGAACGAAGTACAGAAAACTAACATTTGCAGTAGCGTACTATTCCGTTAAAACAATTTTAAAATTTGAACAAAGATCGGAACCCTTGATTTTCTGTAAAAACTGTGAAATGTGCTTTAGTATCGCTCTACAACATGGTACAAGTAATAGTTAAAAGGTTATGTTAAGTGTGTATCTATTATAATTTGTGAATTAAAAATTTGTATCTCATGGGAATAAGGAGTAATAATATCACTTGAATCAGCGAATTGGTGCAAAGCAGTATCGTATATTCATTGATTTTAGATTAGAAAAGTGTAAACCTGGGTGATGGTTGGATTTGATTTTCTCCATCGGGAAGATCGCGTCCCAAAATTTTCCGGATATTACGATCGAGACCTCGAAGCCCATCGCGAGCGGCTTCCAATTCGGCCTCTAATCTTTCAGCTCCCCAGGGTTCCTTTGAATCTAATTTTCTCATCTCGTTAACTGTTGTACACTTGATACACCACGGTGTTGTTACACCATGATAGACGTACGCAGCTTACAACCGAAGTCAGCCATTTTGCATTTTTTTTTCTCGGAATCAATAGCTTTGTTCCGTTTACAATCATGCGGAGTTACTCCGAATATGAACTCATTACACACCCATAAATATATAACATTACTTTACTATAAACCAATGAACTGCTAGCAGTCAACTTCACGTCGGCTGCGAAGATCCGTCATGCTTTGCGCTCTAAGCCCCGCCCCATGTGGAATCATTTGAAAGGGATTGTAACCTCCTACATATGTACATATTCGAACTAGTGGCAAACGTGTTCGTACTTGAATATTCTTCTGAAATGATTTTGCCTGCTGTAAGACGTGCCAAGACCGTCAGGTGAAACTCGTATTTTGAAGTATGTATGTACACATTCTGTCCATGTTCCTTTTTACTTACCATTGTGAAAGGGCGCCATCTCGTAGATACCCATTGAAACTATTGCACATTTAGCATGGATACGCTTGCTATTGCACAGCAGGTTCAGACGTTACCTACTGATTCGAAAACATTCGTTCCTCAGTCCGAAAGTTTATTAGTTCCACGGAAGTTTCGACCGACATTACCTACCGATTCGTAAATTGTTACAATGCCACGCGATATTTAAAATTGCGGAAAGAAAATTCGTATGATCTTCTACTGTGCTTTGAGTAACGCCTTTTTGAGTTTTCTCATATAGTTTGTGTGCAGAGTAACGGAGTCACCTTAAATTGGATCTGGTAAATGCCATCATTAGTCAGCTGAGTACGAACCGTACGGTGCTGCCTTCGGTACGCTACGGTGAAACGGTAAATTACAAGCAGCAGTCCATTGACCCGAAAGATGTTAAGTCAGGTAATAAAATGCAATAGAGTAGAAGAATTTTCTAATATCCTCACTCTGATCCTCTTTCCTATCAAAGCCGGCTTATCGAATGAATGTTTTGGACAGGAATACGATCCGGTAGACTTTCATTTTCGTTAAATCACGTTATTCGTTACAGGAGGGACAAATGTCCGAAATTGGACGACGCTTTCAAATGAAACATCGCAGAAAAACATAGAAAAATTTTCCTTTGCGTACAACTGTAGACTGATTGGACCAATTTAAACATGCCCAATAAGTTTACGAATGCGTGGCCATCTGTGCTACACTAATTGATTTCTCTTCAAACCTTTCTTCCAATCAGCTAATCTGAGTGAGTCCTAAAAAAAGATAAAGGCGGAAAGTGTTCCACTGAATTAATAAATGAATTCGTAGGACAAGACATAGGAGACAGTAGAACGGAATGGATCCTCCGGAAACAAGTTGAACAGAGAGAGAGAAAGGTAATTTTTTAACGGCAGATTTTGTCGAAAATTTTGGAGCAACGAAGCCTTCTCTTCATTTCGAGTGATCACATTTGGTCGGTCGCGTTCCGCTCTGCGACGCGACAATCGCATTCTTTCCGTATCATTGTTACGTTCGCCGTACCGTAACGAGCATGATTTAAGTGCCGCTCATTAACTCGTTAATTTCCATAACGCGACAGACACCGAGAGGATTGTAAGGTGATCGTTTCCCGAGCGTGGACACCCTTGTCGTCGAGACGAGGAAGCCTTTCGATTCGGAAAGAGGAGAGGGCAGTATCCTGTCCGAGGAGCCAGATGGAAAGGAAGCAATGTCGGGAGCTGGCGAACGGCCAGTGAGCTTGCCATTGAATCTGGATGGCCGAAAATAAGTGGCTGCTCGTAAGACAAGAACAGTAGGCATGGGTTCGACTGCCTCTCCTGTCCTTCTGTGTAGATTCATGCCAAGAACGTATACCATAGGAATACTTGTCCGACTCGCCGCTTAATGAGAGCCATGGTGTACCGATTGTTCGTTTTACAGGCTCATTACGAGTCACGGAAAATGAGAACCGAGTGTTCCACTGTCGCTGGAATGAAGCAAGGAGGAGTGTTGTACCTTCGGAACCGTAACCTTAGACGCTGTTTGGGATTCGCCTCGCTATCTAATAACATGCAACGATAAGGACTACCGCGAGCCCACCGAACGTCACGAGGAACTATTAGAGGTGAATTCATACATATTTCCTGACTAATTAAAAGGACATCCGAATCTTTTACGTGTTTCCGCCCTGTTTCGCTCGATGCTCAGGAAATGCACAGGATGTGCGTAATTGGAATAGGTTTTTTGGAAAGTCAGGTGGAAAGTAGGCGGGAATCGTTGCACGGTGGTCGTCTCGCGACGTATTAATAGACAAACGGATGGAAAAGAGGATCGCGGAACCGTTTGATCATCCGCTGGCCATTTGCCTAACTTTTCATGGGTGTTCATCCTCCACGGCTGGCTTGCTTGACGTCAATCTCGTAACCGCCTTGCCGGCAGATTAAATATATATATATACGCGACCCGGAAAAGCAGTCAATGTTAGGTAATTAAAGTTTTATCGTGATTGTTCGCGCTAGCAGGTTGCCAGCCCTTCCTATTGTGCTATTATGGTACGCGCACCAGACTCCTAAATCTTCCCGTCGTTGCCAAACATCTTCGAACGAGGAACACAACTTTACGGGGCACTCTGGGGCAAAACCTGCAGTTCTTCGGTCTCGGTGATAACTTATTCCTTATCGAGAAATTTTACGGAACCTTAACCTGGGAAGAGCGCCATTACGCATTACCTTAGATAAACTCTCTTCGACCGGGCCTCGAGGTAAATCCTGTCTTCAAGTCGATTGCAGCATCCAGTGGGGGACCGAGTTATTAAATACAGGGCAGAAGGAAATTATTCGTTCACCGTACAAAACGCACATCAAGTTAGAGCATAACGAGGTAAATTCATGAAAACTGCATCGCTTTCCGAATTCGACTCTCGAATTACGTTCCGGGTCCTGGCATCGAGCACACTTGTAGTTGATCCCAAATCGATCGGACGGTGCACCGTTGACGACTCTAAATCCACCTTACTATTCGCTTATAAATAAATCGCCTCCACTTTTGTTTGCAGTGAGACGCACCCAAAGCCACATTTTCTCGTAACTGGGACGCGACTTCGAGGCGATCGATCGTACCGAGGAGTGTTCTATCATTCGTCACGTCAACTTGACTCGCAGACTCCCTTCCCAATGAGAATCAATCGTCCAGATCATCCAAAACGTTAAGTGACAAAGAAAGCCCCCAGAGTCCCTCCTCGTAACGCTTACCTTTCCATTTTTCTCTTCGTAGGTAGATCCATCGGCAGTGATTTAGTAGGCTCAATTGCGGGATTACAGGAAATCGTTGTCAACTCTACAGATCGAGTTATCCGATGCTTATCCATGGGTATACGTGACGTACATCTATATCGAATCCCTTTTCGGACTTCGGGCAGACTTCTTTCGGGATGGGAATAAAAGTGAGGCGGCGTGTCAACTGTCATAAGCAGCGTTTATTCGTTTCTTAATCAAGTCGGAGCGGTTTTAAAAAATCAGATACTCATGTCTCTGTGACTCGTAGCGAAAAACGTTACAGTAAGGAGGAGGGGGGGGGGGTACATATACACATATCTCGTACTTCCTAATCTTCGGTCCTCCGCTCATACGCGCGCCTTACCTAGGTGTCATTCGTCTCGGTGGCTCTCCGACGAGAGGGGGCTCGTAAAAATCAAAAAGGGTCGCCTCGACGTCATCGAGACGGTCGTCCCGACGACCTTGTGAAAACGTCAAACTGCGCTAACATCTCTGACGTCGTTTAATCGGCAGTCATCACTCGCCACGTGTCTTGATTCTTTTTCTCGTCTCGTCTTCTCTCCTCCTCCCACCTTCGAAACTCGCTCTTTTTTTTCTCTCTCTCTTTTTTCCGCTTTCGCACGCGATACACGTAAATATTTATAGTAGTATTGTATGTACGAGTAAGAGATCAAACTTTGCATTGTCACTTAAATGAAACTCGTAATTCTAACTTACCGCGTAAAAATGATATACGTAAGAGAGGGTGGCGGTGCGTTTGCGCGCGCTTTTTCCTTTTCTTTTTTTCCTTCCACCTCATTTCTTTTTATCCGCTCGAGTTTTCTCTTACGCTCGTACCTTCGCTCGGGATTTCGCGTCTTCGAGTAAAACCCATGTGTCGCGGTACAACGTTTATTTCTCTAAGTCCGCCAGATCTCCGCCTAAGCGAGCCTTCGTATTCGCGACGTCTCATCCATCTCACTTAGGATGGTTCTGGGCTTCCTTGAATGTATCTTCTAAAATGACTGTGGAAACGAACGATCACCACGTAGAGTGAAATTTCGGAAAACTATAATTACGCTGAGCCCTAACGGACCGGCCCGAGTCCAGGACCGAACTAACACGATATGTAAAATCATGCACATGCGATCGTATTACCCCGTGTCGAAATTTCATGATTAAATTCCGAGGGCGCGTTACGCTGTCGTTTGTCGATGCAATTGACACGGTTTGGTGTACACATACATCCGGTTCTTACAACGCGGTGCGAGGGTCACGTTCTGTCCTTCGTGTTCAATTTCAATTAGCGTCCGTCGCGTTATCTTTTACGATTCCTTGATGAGTTACTTTAAATGGAACCCCCGAATAAACGGACCGAGACACGAGGGGTGTACTTTATTAGAGTGTCGGCGAAGCCACGAAAAATCACAAGGGATGAGACCGTGTAGTATCAATCGATACGATATGTACAACGACCGCGTTGGTCTCACAAAAGGGGATTATTAATAACATTCCCAGCCTTAGTAGTTATTCGATCGCACCGCTCTACTGGCTACATACGTATATCTTCGAATGGGACGGATCGTACGAATGCGCCTAATTGATCCTATCCTACGGAACACTAATTTTGTAGGTCTAGGGTAATTCCCAAGGCAGGTCGATTCGCTGCGAAGGCGGAGATCTGGGTACGGTACAGTGTACAGAGATTTAGAAGATCACTCGTGAAAAAGTGCGCGTCGAGGACAGTTTCTTCTCTCCGCTCGATCGGATTTTATCAAAATGCTTTCACGTGTGGTCAGCTTTACAATGGTTTCGAATTTGCGCCGGATTAGGTGGTACGTGTTCCACCTGTCGATATTCGGTATGTTCGGCTTGAGCGCAAACGACACGTTAGCGAGTGCACCAAGCAAAGGCGGCAAGGTAAATGCCTATCGTCGCAAGACCGTTACTTGCGATTTCCACGGAAGATGTAGGCGCGGGCAACTGCCTCGCCGAGACCTCGGCGAAATGCAAAGTTGCTCGAAAATGCAACCGGGGGCAGTGAGTTTCGCGAAGGCGATGACCGTAGGACGATTGTCGCCTTTTGTCACGGCGGTGAGATTTCAAAGGAAACAGGCGACGGTGCCGAGGGTTAAATAAACTCTTAAAAGACGGACTAGCGTTAGAGCCGGAGCGGACAGTGTAACATATAGGGGGAAAAGGGGTGCGTCGATCGTGGACCGATCGCGAATCACAGGTGGGACCGAACCTGCCAAAACGGGGAATCTCCCCCTGAATCGTCGCAGGGAAAAAAAAAAGCAGAGATCTCTTTGCGCGATCACCTTTGCGAGTCTTACATTAGGAACAAAGTGAGCATCACGATTCGATTAGTTCTATCGGCCTCTTCCTGCGAAGCGGGGACGTGCGCTCGAACGGAAATAAATATGCAATTTGAAGAACCTTTCCGAGTTGTCCCAACCGAGGGGTTTTATTTTCTGACTAGCTTGACGGACAGCTACTGCCATCTTCCTCCTGTCAATCGGTACCAATTGAATGACGCTTGAGAATTTATATTGACCAATATTTATAGCATGCTTTTGACTAAATCGCTACGTAATAGTTGTATGAGCAAACTACAGATTGCACCTTCCCACGTGGACACGAAGTTCCGCAACGAGGCCGAAGTACGGGATACGAAAATTTAGGATAAAAATTTAGGTGAAAAAATCACCGTGTCCCCACTTTGCAGGCAGATTCACATAATTTAACGGAGAAAAAAAAATCTCTACTAGGTACACGTTAAAGTCTTTGTTTTCAAATATCACTGATATTAAAACGTCCGAGGGTCATGTACAATTACTGTGCAATTATGCTCAATTCTTTCCGCGCCTTCGACGGAGCGCAAGAGATGGCCGCGCGAGATTCTCTCGGGATAATCTCGCGCTATCGCTCGATTGCTCCATAAATCCTTTATAAAAGTGTCCACGAAGTGTACGCGTACTCCCATCCGACTACGCGATCGCTCGTTCGCGAGTCATTCGTAATTTGATTAAAACGAAGTGCGGCGGAATCATTAATTAAATTAAAATCTGCCCATCCCCGCCGAGCGCGTCGGAGTTTGAATACGAAATCGATTCAGAATTACATTGGAAATAATGTGCGCTCGTCTCTGCGTGTTTTCCCTCTTTCTCCGGGAATCCGGGGTCGGCGTCCGACCCGCGGGGGTAGCTGTCAAAATCAGCTGATCCAGGGTAACGTTTCCCCGCTTCGACAGAGCCGGCTGGGTCACGAGGCTACTCGATCGACGATTATTACGAGCGGTGTACGTCGGACCTTCAAGGACGCGAAATCCGACATAATCCTTACGTTAACGCGCAACGGTAAGACGTAGAACGAGAGTGGAGGCGCTGGACGGGTCGTCGTTTATTTCTTTCCTTTTTTTTTTCCCTCTCATTAGTCGCTCGATCGAGAATATTAAATGCGTCGTCCTCGTCGCTAACGATGGATTACCCTACGATCTACCCAGAATTTATCGTCTCCTATACATAATCATTAACCGCTTACCTAAGTCGTTTAATTCCAATTACGATTAAGTAGACTGTAAACGTCATCGTCCTCATCCTCGCCGTTCTCGTCGTTCGCCGTCGCGATTATCATCTACTGTTTTACCAATATTATTAGTGTCTCGCAGGACTCTCGCGATTCGCCCCCCGAGAGTGCAAGAATTCGTGCACACGCGTGTATACAAACCGAGTACGACAAGGTACTTATACAGTGACTCGAGTCCTTTTTTTCGTCGTGCATCGCCCCTGGATTAATCCCTCTTCCCCATCGAATCGCCCCCAAATGCGCCCGTTTCCAGCTTTGTCGTCGTTTAGTCGGTTAAATTTCCGTCGTTTGATCGCAATCCCAGTTTGAGGATGGTTTGTGCAAATGCTCGTCCAACGAGTCATGCAGGACGAGATGTATCTGCAACGCTTTAGCTACGTGTTACGACCGATCGCAGATCGGATGAGCTGCTTCGATTTTCAATTTTTTTTCCCTGCAGGGGATAACCAGATTTTCGTTTTCCATTCGCGAAGGAAAATCCGAGGGCGTGACACGAGTCCGCGGAAAGAAGGCTGAGTCACTTTATAACGAATCCGCCGTGTTTACATTTGTGACTTACCCTTAATTTACGAAATAGTTTATTATACAAACGCTTACGCATATACACATAGAAACGTAATACAGTCTCTGATCAGTTCAATTGTGTGTTTGTTTTCTCTCAATGGCTCACCTCGGGCGTGAGTTGGCTTTTTATTAAACTACTTAGATTACGCCTAACTTACTCCTGACCTTCCGTCAGTTACATCCTTCATTTCATTACCTTCCTTTTACGGCGCTGATTACCCCGCTAAATGAAAAATCCCTTTTCGTCTGCCAACGTCATTTCGACAGTGCCGACCTTGGCGTTGAATTTCCGCGCTCTCGTTGACGCCCTGCTTAATGAATCGGTATATTTCGTCGGTGGTGGTGGAAATCGATGAGAGAGAGAAAAAATGAAGAAGAGAGGAGGTAAAAAGAGGTCTACGAGGCGAAGGACGCCGCGCTGGAATCGGGTGAAGGAGTAAAATTAATAAAAACCAGATTTCGTGGAGAAGTCGCTCCGAATCTAATACCCGAGACCCGGTCGAGTGAAATCGATTGACATTCCGTATCGGGATCCCGGGATACTTTTAAAATCGATAAAAGTCTCCTCGATTTACATTCTTCCTCGTTTCATTTCCACCGCGAGGAGGGCCGGAGAAGTCTCGGCGAGATCTCTCCGGCGCTCGGTGAATTTTCATCCGGGACGATTGTTCCGCGGCCAGACCGCGAGGAATCCGCGAAATGATACCATCGACACATGACAGATTATCCTGCACTCGAAGCTGAATTACGAGGGCCGCGATCCGGAAAGAGCGTGCAATTTCTCTCACGGTGTACCGCGCGGGAAGCGCTAATAACATCGGTCGATGTATAAAAAGATGACGGTAGAAAAGGTCCACGAGGGTGTAGGACTTTCTCCGGAAATCGAGGAAACGAGTGAAACTAATAAACCGCGAGAATTTTTGCGATAAGTCGTCTCAAGCCCGACACTCGAGACCCGTTCGAACGAAATCGATTAGCGCGTCCTATCGAGACCTCGCGGTAATTAAAACCGATGCATGTCCCTTCGATCGTATCGCTCTTTCCCAATTCCATTTCCGCATTTCGCCGCGAGTTCGGCGGGATCCGAATCGCCGGAGTATCGCGATTCGGGGAGGTCGTGCGTCGCCTCTTTAACCGTATAGACTATCGAGTCGGCGTGTATCGGCAGTGGTGGTGGAAACTATGGGGAGCAGGCCTGCGAGACGACATCGAGACTCGATAAAATCCGAGGAACGAGAAAACAAGTTAAATCAAAGGCCAGGTCCCTGCGAGGGTCTCTTCGAGTCCAACAATCGTTGGAATAAAGTCGATACATCCCCGCGTCTCGCCAAAGGTACCAAAAAACCGATCGGCAGGTCCCGTCGCCTTTCTCCTCTCGATAGCTTATCATCGCTCTCGTCGCCTCATCCGAGGCCGGATCGCCGAAATTTCCGCAAAAAGGTTTCTCGCCGACTTCGTTAGAGCTCCATCGCCGAGCGGCGTACGACGAAGTCGTAAGCGCGGCTTCAAGGATTTCTAACGAATTAAAAATAGTCATAACGAAACCCGTCTCGTCTCGTGTACTTCATATTACGTAGTTAGTCTCGCGCTATATAACGCTGTCTTCCTGTCCGAGTCGCTTAATGTCGATCGCGTGACCACGGGACGATGTATACCGTCCCTCGCGATTTTTGGCGACCGTCTGATGTGAATACCAGAATGACCGGCAGGGTAGCGCACGTCACATGCATATCACGCGTACCATTGTCTAATTACTTTTTGGCGAGCGTCCGGTATGGGCACCTAAGTGCATCGCAATCACGGTGCATGACTCGCGTGTAACTTTTAAATGCGCTTCGGTACATGGACCGAACGACCGCCAAAGAGGGTGTAAGGGTTCCTCCCAGAGGAATTCGGGTACAATTAAAGCTTAATTCGAATTAATCGCTCGACAAAGTCCTAACGAGATCGGGGAGAAATCGCATTTGGAAACGTGCACGCGAGCTTTCCTCGTTATTCCTACTTGATTTAGCATTTCCTAACCGGGGTGCGTAGGTGAGCTTCAGGTATGTCGTTTCTCACCTACGCACGTCCTATTCGTCTCGTCGATGCGAAATCGCGTCCTAGCAAGACCCCACCGGCGTTTAGGTCGTATCCCAATCTTCTCTGGCGTGGATGGATTCCGGGAATTTCGACGTCCGTTCTCGCGAACAATTTAAATATCGAATATCATCGGACGGTCAACAGCCGCGCGAAATTAAGAGGAAACGACTCGAGCGTCGCTCTTATTGCTTCGTGTCCCGGTGAACGTGTCACCGAGGAGATCGTTGTCCAGCGAGTCCGATTTAAAAAGAAGGCGAGCAAGTATCGCGACCGATCGCTAGTGCTCGCTCCCCGGTGAATTTTCAGTCTCAGGGATTAAAATCGAGGAAACCCGTTAAAGTTGGCTCTATCACAAGTTCATCCTTAATCGTGATGCATCGCTTCCGTGATCGCCCCGCGCGAGGCGGGAGTGAAATAAATACACGTTCCCTTCCGACTTGTAAGCGCGGGGACACTAAAAACGAGAGAGAGAAAATGAAATTAAAAAAAAAAAATAAAAAAAAAATAAAATCACCCGGCCGAAGCTCGGAACGCTCCGCAAACGAATCCACCCCCTGGACGCAACCGTTCGTCCCCTCAAATCCAAAGTGCTCGCCTACGAAGTCGCAAAATATTTCCTAACTCTTCCTCCACGTAACAGTAAATACGATGAGATCAACCACGGGCGTACGGACGGGGGAAAGGGTATTCGAAGGCGCTCGTCCAGGCGATAAAAGCACCCTCCCCGGCCCTCCCAGAGGGTAGGTTAAAAAAAGGGACCGTCGAAAGTATTGGAACACGACCACTCGATCCTAACCAAAGGTCCCGGGTCCCGAGTCGTCCGTCTCGGGTTAGACGCGTACCCACGTTAAGCCTAGAGCTATCACTATTATGTCGGCACCGTAGTAGAAAAGCACTGTACGAGTCTAGGACGAGTTTCTCTGGGCGCGACCATCCGACGATGGGCAACGGCGGCCGATCGATGCTCCGCTAAATTAAATTTAACAGTAGTACAACCATAGAAAAAACGCCCGCCTCCGTTTAGTAGCGACATTAGGTGTGGGTACATATACGTATATATATAAATATACGTACGTACAAATACATATACCCCCGCCTCTCCGCGGGTAGATCAGATCTTAGACCGGTCGCGCATCCGCAACTTATCGACGAGCCGTCAGGGTACGTATCGATGATCGCCCTCGTCTCGACACTACAATGAATTCGGGCGTGGCGGCTGTCAGGTGCGGTCGATTTTTCTTCCCGCGTCGCACAGTGGCCACTCCCGTGTATGAACACATCGAGGGTGTACACGGGTTACCGGGGCGCCGAGGGGAAGGAGGGGGGAAATCGGAGAAAAAGCAGAAACGGGAGGAGGAAAGATCGGCGTCGTCGATCGTGACACGATCCGCGATCTAGGACTCGTACAACGATTCCCCGTCTCACCTCTCGCCCGTGAAACTCCGTTCGCTCGTGCGAGTTCCGTACTACGCGTTCGTCCGATAATTCACTATGCCGTAACTAAGCGCAAACCTTAACTTCATTTACATACGCTAGACGTTTTACACTCTCCTCGATTAGCCGGCGTACAAGCCGAAGACGCGCGCGTGTCCGCCGAGAGCGTGTGGCCGCGCACGCGCGGGCACGCACGCCTATCCTATACACCTGCGCAACGTATATGTACAATTTCTCGCATTTTACCTATGTTCATCAATATAAACCACGATAAATCTACATTCCATATCACAAGACATCCTGTTCCGTATCACGATTGAACTATTTTTGTTAATCAGTTCCTCCGTCTGCGCATATCGTTCTCGGTGTCCCCATGTTTTTCTTTTTCCTTTCTTTTCCTTTTTAATTCCTCTTCGCATCGTTCCTTGCGTCCGTGTCTCGCCGAGCCCGGGCGAGTGTTCCGCTTACGTTTAACTCGCACGTTCGGCTCCGTTTTCCGTGATTTCTCTTTACGCCCGTCGACGTTGCATTTCTCGCGGCGTCCGTTCTGCTCGATCGCAAAGATGCGTTCGCCCCCCCTTCCCTTCCCTACCCCGGTCTTTCGGTTTTGCAATCCTTTTGCAATCCTTATACCCCTTTCTTTGCGCCCGCTCTCTGCTGCTTCTTTTAACGTCTCTCTCTCTCTCTCTCGCCCTTCTTGCTCTCTTTCTCGCCTCACCTATGACGACACTAGGCCTTTTTCTGTCTGGTCGCTTTGCTCGCTTAGAGTCGCCTAAAATTAGATCGTTTTCGAGTACTATTCACGGTTAGAAGACCGCATCCCGATCCGCCGACGACGGCGATTTCCGTCTTTCGTTTGGTACCGGATTTGTCGACTATTAGACATGTCGTTATTGCCAAATTATCCACGGACACGTGTCTCGTGCGTGGAGAATATAGACGCACCTTCGGTGGGATCTATAAAGGATTGCCGATACTTAGTCTTGTCATTATTGCCAAATTATCTCTAACCGTGGATCTGGTTGCGTGGAGATTATATCGAGATACTGCGGACGGATCTATAAAAGATGAAGAGCTGGGGTACCGAATGTCCGATCCAATCCGTTTTGATCTTTCATCCGACCGGTCGAACGTGACGTGGAAAACTTCATCTCGGGTCGACATGGACCACGTCGCGAGATTTAATTCATTACGGCAGCTGCGGCTGCAGCCATGGAAATAAAAGCAGACCCACGCATCGATCCGCGCAGAGCGTATCACGTTGAAATGGCACGTTTAGCATGTGTTTCCTCTAATTTGATCTGGCATGAATCCAGTGTTGCGTCGAATTAAACTAAGTCCAGACCTGTTCTAAGATTAACTATTTGTACGCACGCCGTGAAGCGGAGTTTCGAACCCGTAACTAGCCAGGATCTTGATACTCGAAAATCGCACTTAACTTCAACGCCAATTTTGGACGAGAAAAGAGCAACGAGGAGAGCTCGTCGTTCCCGGCGCCTGGCCCAAAAATTTCCACACTAAACGCGTTACGCGGTTTCCGCTCCAAATAACGACATCCGGTAAGAAGGTAAATCTCCCTCAACGAGGGTGGCTCCGGAAGGGTCGTGAAAACTTTCCGGAAAACAATGAGCTGCGTCGAAGATGGTCCGCGGAATCTTCTGCAAGCCGTACGAATGGCTTCCCGCAACGAGAGGCCACTTCGCAATTGCGGGTTCCCAAAGGCGTGCAATTTAAATCAACGCCAATTTAATTCAATGCCAGTTCGGCCGCGCAGAAATGTATTCGACCTCAGAGACGTTTGCGAAACGCGCATCGATGACTCCATGGAATATCGGCCGTATTTCCGAGCTAGGTTTTTGAATTAAACATTTCTAACCAAAAGGGGAGAAGCATGCTCGGCGGAGCGAGAATGCATCCATCAGCCATCTTGTTCGCGAAAATCACCGTCGTCGAAGCGACCGCTGCATGCTTCGAAAAATAACCAGGAAGCCCCGAAGACCACCTTCACGGCTCGAGCCCCGGATTGTCCAAACAGTTGACGCACGACAAAGCGATTTCGTTCTCCTTCGGATCTGCATAGCCACTTCCTCGCGAGGCGTGCAGCTACCATCGAAGTGCCCTCGAGGGGTCCACTTCGCATCGCGGTGGCAGTATAATGGGCTGCAAAGGCTCCCGAGTTAGCGACCAGGCAAACACAGAGACGAAGCGAGACGGAGGGGGAGAGAGAGAGATTTAAGAAGCATCGAGGAACGCGAACGCCGCGCGTCTAGGCTCGGCCTCTTCGGGAACAATCACGAGGACCCGATCTTCTTTCGGCCGGAATCGCATCTCCGTCCTCTCGACGTCTCGTCCACAGAGGAGACAAGTAATCCCTGATCGAAACGCGCGATCTCGCGAGGCGCGGTCCTCGAAATCCCTCGCATCGTTTCAAGGACCTCTACGTCGCTCCCAAGAGCCCGAGACGACTCAGCTCCTCGTCTACGAGGAGGCCTCGAGGGGCAGAATTCGTCCGATCGCAGGAATCCGACCGCATCGTTCGTAAATCTCCCATGCAGGACTCCGATCCCGGCCCTAAATTCTGCCTGTACACCTCGCATAGCAGCATCCCAGGACGCGAGCTCGACGCCTCGAGAAGCATCCGTCTTCGTTCCGTCGTCGCGGCCTCTCTTTGCGGAGCGGAGAACGAGTCGCCGCAGGATTCCCACGAGGGCCGCGTAGCGGACGACCGAGCCGCGGCCGCCACCGGGACCGGGCCCAGGGAAGCACCCGGGTCCCGGGTGTCCACGTAGCGGGCCGATCAGCGGCCAAGGACGAGATCAGCGGAGGACGAGTCCGAGCGGCAGGGTCGGCCTCACATGTTGAAAAGGTACTTCCTCGCCTCGTCGTACAGCTCGTCCTTGTACTGGCCGGGCCTGAGCGTGCCGGGTGGGTTCTTGTGGAAGAGGTGCCGCGAATACTGATTCGTCTGGTTGCTCTCGGGCTTCTGGCGGCGCCCACGGAAGACCTCCTGCAGGTCCACCCGGGCGGTCTCCTGGTCTTGGACCAGGTCGCCGACGAGCTCCGAGTGCCGCGAGTGGATGGTGGAGGCCCGATGGTCGATGAGCTGCTTCAGCTTGTTGGTCATCCCGGCGGAGCCTATGGTATTGGTCTTGCTGGAACTCCTGCTCCCGGAGGCGGGGGTCCTGAGCCCCGTCGGCGGAGCCTGGGCCTGCTGCCCGGCAGGCTGGCTCTCGGTCTTCTCTCCAGGCGGCCTGGGCAGTCTCCGCCTGAGCCAGGCGTGCCTGAGCGCCTTGCTCGGCGTCATCCTCTGCTCCGGATCCCACTCCAGGCAGCGCCTTATGAAGTCCAGGAAGAGCGGGTCGTCGCAGCCCATCAGGGCCCTCTTCAGCTCCCTGGAGCCGGGCGGTCCCCGGTGTTTGCCCCGCCTCGAGAGCCCTCCGCTCAGGATCGTCGAGCCGTCCGCCATCGTCGTGGCGGTGCAGTACCTCGGGTTACCCTTCGAGCTGATGAACTGCCACGTCCGCTTGGCCGAGTCCAGCAGCTTCTTTGGCGGCATCCCCAGGAGCTCGATGATGCACGCCAGCTGGTCGGCCTCGTCCTCTCCCGGGAGCAGGGGGAACCCCGTCAGCAGCTCCGCCAGGATACAGCCCAGGCTCCACATGTCGATCGGCATCCCGTATCTCGCGCCCAGGATCACCTCCGGCGCTCGGTAGAACCGACTCTGGATGTACGTGTAGACTCGCTGGCTCTCGTAGCAGCTCGAGCCGAAGTCTATCACCTGCAACACGGAAGAGGAGCCGGAGTTAGTCGGAAACGGGCCTCACGCGACCCGGGAATCGTTAATCGGGAGAGCGACCGCTCTTCCCCTAACGACCCCACACGCCTAATCCCGTTTACACTAGATCTTAGCGACTGCTAAATGTTACAAACTCCTACCGGATGACACCGACGGATCGTTTGCGGCTCTAAACGAGACCGGGGAAAAATCCGAACTTATACGAAGCTTTTCTCCTAACTGGGTGTACCGAATTTGAAAATTTACCTCGTGAATGTGAAGTCCCTGAGAAAGCTCCCGACCTTTGTGAAATTCAGATCCATAATCACGTGTTAAAGTTTTAGACAATTCGGTGCACCCAGTTTGGAGAAGAGTCTCATAGATATCTTGACTTTTTGGTATGTTTGTATCACACTTTCGTATAATTTTAAGAAAGGGAATAAAGTTTGCGCCTTGCCGAGGGCGGTTCCCTGCAAATGGCTCGTAATTATGTTGCCGGATCGAGGCTTCCTCGGCGGAGCGTGCTGGGGAAAAATCGGCGCGTCGGCAGCTCGACGGAATTCCCTCCGTAAGTGGAGGATCATTGTTGCTCCCGAAACGGGCGGGAGGGATTTCTCGGAGGGCCTCGTAACTCGTTCCTGGGGGGAGGCAGCGATCGGTAGCCACCGACAGCCTTTGGGCAAACATTCAAGGCCGACCCTCTCGTCGAACTGCAGGGAGCGCGGTTCCGGCCTGGTCTTTCACACCGGAATAAGGATCGCGCGGCGTAAAGGTCAATGGCGCCGCGTCTCTGCCGGGCTCGTTTAATATTAATAGGTTGCCACCTTGGGACCGATGCTCCTACAGGAATCACGAGAGACCGCGCTTGCCGACTCGCCTCGGAAACCCGAGGGACCGACCCTGTAATCGCGATTTCGCGGACCCAAACGCCGAGTCGATTGTTAAACCACGCGAATATAAATACAGTCTAGGATTCGGGGAAGCCAAGATGTGTACCTACCCTGAAGCCGAATAAAAATCTCCATGTGAGTTTAAATCCTCGATCGTTGAATAGTTTCATAATAAATTGCAGTTAAATTGCACTGTCTCTGCAGTATCGCGCTCGGCATATAAGTTAAAGGAAATTATAATGTAAAGTCAGATTTCAATTCATGTAAAAATGCATCAAGGTAGATATACAGAGTTATGGGCATTTATACGTTTTCTAATTTCTCATTTTCGTCCATTTCATTAGTTGTTCTCTTTTTCTCTTTTTTTCCTTTTACGTGAGGTTTCGGTTAAAGTGCATGGCATATTTCCGCTGATTTCTATGATTAACATTCGCTCGAAGAAGCGAATCATCCTGAGGAAGATCGCAACTTGCGAAGGCGTGACCAGTCGAACGGATACCGTGCTCCACGCCTACGCGAGCCTGTCGACAACTAGTTCAGAGGATATTTTCGAGTATGAAGAGTACCTTTATTTCGAGCGGCCATTCGCGTTACCGAATTTCTGGGGGAGCATCCGGCCTGCACAATGCCATTAATATTAATGTCGGGGAGAGTTGGAGAACCAGAAGCCTCGTTGAAGGTTCAACTTCAATGATAAGAGTCCACGAATTAACGAGCTAGTTCCCCTAAATTCATGAGTGGAACTAATGTTGATCTCGATGGTAAAGATTAAAAAAAAAAAAGAAAAAAATTAGAAAATTCATCGAATCGCCTTTACTTCGGTCGATCTGTACCCGGTCAGACCGGACATCGGCTTTTAAAGAGCGACTCGGAGATCGATTATCGCGGTTGAATTTATGAAATATAAAACCGGCGGATAGCGTCATAGCAGCCCTACTGATCTAGCGTATCTCCGCCCAGAAACCCGGTTTTTAAAGTGGGTTAAATGCGGGGGAAATTAATGACGAGCCCGTGATTCGGGGCGGCCGATTCATGCCCCGTCATTACCGATCGATACATCGTATACGTGCGAAGCCGGCGGGCGGAGGTGTGATTAAAACTTGAGCCATCGGTCGAAACGCCATCAAGCTATCAAAGCACTGCTCGAAACGGTGCTTTATCCAACTCCGGCGACGGTCGATGTATGATGGATTTCGCGAACGACTCGGGAATATCGTCAATAACAATGGCCGCCACAGAGGGCCGCTTCGTTGCACTCCGGGACGACTGCGGGACAATAATTAAGACCGATCTACCCGGGACGAGGGGAGCAAATTTCCATACTCTGGATTTTTCCCCCGAACGAGGAATTAAATGTAAATATCAATGAAATAAAGAAAACAAAAAAATCATCACGAAGGAATCAACTGCAAAAGTTCCTCGGTGAAATTATAGTTTTACTTTGAACCGGGGTGGTTTAAGTGCCCGAACATTGTTCAGATCCTATTTCATATTTAAATCCTACTTTCGACCTTGTAAGTCTTTAGACCTACGAACACATAAAATGGAAATATGTGCCATTTTAAAGATCTAAAGTAGGACTTCGATAGAAGTTCCCCTTCTTTATGCCATCTCAAAATTCATTGAAGGTCTACAATTAGAGGTTCTAAGTAGGGTGAGGATTTCGACTCGGGAGAAATGACCGATCTCGTCAAAACCCATTTAAGGCCTACAATTAAAGTTTCTAAGTAGGTTCGAAATCTCGACTCGAGGAGGTGGCGGAACGGCCGTTCGACCGAAGTCCGTCCGAGCTCCCTGGGAACGATCTCCTCGGTTCGAGAATAGCTTAGGAGATCCGCGGGACTCTAATTTAGAAATTAGAGGACCTAACGCGCCTCCTTCGAGGCACCTCGCAAAACGAGAAACGAGGCGGAAGAGGGGACCGGTTCGCGTACCTCCTAATTGGAGCACTTCGCCGGTTCGCTCGCGACGTAACAGGTGGGGACCCCTGTACGTATTTACGTGCGCCTAAGTGTAGGTGGACGTGCACTTACGGATGCACCCACGTATATCCAGGTGTACACGCGCGCAGTCACCACTTACCCAGCCAAGGGTTAAGAAGAGAAGGCTAGGAGAAAATCTCCGACTCGAGGGGCCTCCTCGAGGACGTTCCAGCGGGCTAACGAGTTCGTCTTTTGAGAATCGGTTAAGGAGCCACGGCAAAATGCTGAGGACGGGATGCCGAAGACGACCAAGAAGAGGCGGCCAAAGGGTTGCCAAGCCGCCGAGATCGATATCGGCAAATTAGGAAATGCGACTGCCAACCCGCCGAGCAATGACGGTCATTATAAAATCTACGGTAATTCCGATTACCATAAAAGACGCGCCTCGAGCCTCCGTATTTGATGGTCCCTTCTGGAGGATCGAAAGCAACGTCGGTTCGCGCCCGACGAGCGGGGCGAAAAGAGGGACGAATCTTCGTCCTCTTCAATTCCCTCCCACGCAGCCCTATCGTGAATGAGTCGGTTTACGTCACAAAGTACTTGGTACTCGCTACTAAATCGGTTCGGGCGAAACGCTTATCCATTCAGCGTTGACACCGACGCGCACTATTTTTACACGCGTCGTAAATCGCGGCTCTTTTTATACACAACGATATTATAGGCGTCGCGTGATTCATCGCTGTAAGAGACACCGGGACGGTCTCGACACTCTCTTTCTCTCTGTCTTTCTGCAATTGTCCCTCTTCTCGAGCGATGAGTCGCGATTATTGCCCACCGCGTTGGCCGGTAGAAAAATCGTCGCCCACGAATTTCTAACTTCCGACTGCCTTTTTTTCATTGTCCTTCTTCTCAAGCATTGCGTCGTGATCGTCGTTCGTAACATTGACCAGCGATCGGTAGAAAAATCGTCGCTCATGACATTTTCCTGAACTTTCGTCTGGTCGGTGAAAAATTTGCAATCTTTCCTCTTATCGAGCATTGCGTCGCAATCGATATCCATCGCGTTACCTGGCAGAAGGGGGTAGAAAAATTGTCGCCCACGAATTTGTAGCCTTCTGGCCGACAAAGATTTCCCTAAGAAAATTCGTGGACTCCACTTAGCTCTCTCGGGGACGTTAATAAAATCAATCGTACCCGCGGTGACGATCGCATCCGTATAGAGGAGGCCGATAAAGCCGCACGGTTACTGTCCCCGCGAACGAGATATTCGGATCGCTCGAGGTGAATTGCCGTATCGATTGAGCCACCTCACGCGACCGAACTCCGACCTTTTCCTACGTGCAGTCGGACTGCAGCTACGTCACGAACGTACTTCGTCATCTATCGAACGTCTATTGAAATCCGATCTCGTGGACATCTGTCATTTCACCCGGGAAACCGGAGGAATCCCTCCCGACCCTGCTCGATTCACGTGGATATCGTAATATATCCAATTTCCCGAGTGAATTTTTTTTCCCGGCGCCAGTGTGCGTCCATTCAGGCATCCACGAGTGCCCTCTTTCCCCTTTAAACGAGATTCCCGTTTCCGACTGATACGAGGCTGATGAGCCCAGAAACCACGTGGGAGGTGGACGCGTCGCGCACTCCTTCGGCGTGACAGGCCGAGTCGAATCATCGATCTGGGTCGAACTTTAAATCCTTCGATTATTCAATTAGCCGATAGAAATTTCCCTCGCCGTTGATTAAGAGCCTGGGAGATCACTTTTCTAATTAAGCCTTAGAAAACCGTACAAAAGTGGATATTTCGGGTCCCAGTGTGAGCAACCTCGCCAACATCTTCTCGTCCTAAATTCTATTGTACTCCAGATTCTTACGCTCCTTTGAGGTGAATATTTTCGACTCGAGGTCGTTCTCGCAAGCGAATGGTAAGGTCAAGTTCGGGAAAGATTTAGAGCTAAGGACGCTTCCCGTGGCTTTTCCACGCGTCTGACACTCGCCGCGTCCATTTCGCGCCATTTCCAGGTCAGTTTGTCCTCGTCGAGTCAGGTCGAGAGGCCGGGCCACGGTCTACAGCCCTGTGCTCGCATAATTAATTCCCACTGCAGGCAGGGCTGCGTGCAAAAAGGCACAGCTCTCTTTCCAGGTTCCCCCTGGAACGGTTCCGTGACTCCTGCCCATCCTGACCTCGAGT